TGTGTGTTACTATTTCTGATGTCTGATTCGTGTCCATTTATCCTTTGTTGCAGAGACTGTCTGCTTTGGCCAATACACATGGCAGAGGGGCATTGTTAGTTGCAGAAATTATTGGCAAGGCATTTCAAATCTATAAAAAAAAAAGAGAAGAAATCTACAATCTCTTTGTGGCCAATGCACCACCAGCAAAAGAGGTAACATTCACTGACTCAGTGACTCATTATTAATTATTCACTCAACTGCGTTAAGGAACAATCTTGAACTAATGAAGAGAGGATAAGATGATCCAATAGCCACTCCAGCTTCCATGATTCTATTATAATAGCATGGTGGTTGTTTTTTCTGTACAGATTTTGCTGATATGTCTATTAAAATAAGGTCCTTATGGCTGATTGGAACATTAATTTACGTGGCAGCTCCGTCTACTGCTGCAGATCTGTGGTGCGGGGCGGGGGGCTGACCGCTCTATTTACACTCTAAGCACTTCTATTTCAGGCTCTCTATGTGTGCTAAAGTTCAGAGCTATTCCTAGATGGATCAATAACTCCGAGCCACTACAGTTCAGTGCCTTTCCCGCATCCCCACTTCCCAGTAACGAGAGATTTGTCATTTTCCTGGACTTTGAAAGCCATGAGGAGCCTGGATGAATCTGGTTCTCTCTCTCCTAAAGCCATTCAGAACACACTATGGTTGAAGGGGGACTCCTGTCAGATTGCATGTCATGTCATCCGTTGTTATTGAATCTATAGTGCACGCCCTTGTGGAAAAGGAGGCAAACTCGAGTAAAGAGATAATGAGATGCATGGACATATTTTGATTGTGGGGGCTGGAAGTGTCTACGGGCCCTAATAATTACACAAAGCAAAAGCTTTTGTGTCATAGTTTGGCAGCAGAAAGAAAAAGACTAGTAATTTCACAGAGCTTTTTAAACTTCGTTAGTCATCTCTTATGTGTCACAGAAATACTTGTGCTCACATTGACTTGCATGCCGGCCTACACACACACACCAGCAGCAACTGATGCTTGGCCACACACACACACACACCAGCAGCAACTGATGCTTGGCCCTGAGATTGTCCATCCTATGCCGGGAATGCTTGGATCTCCCCATATGACATGTGGGGGATGTTCTGTTCTTGATAGAGCTGGCCTGGAAATGGATGTCTTTTCCCATGGAAAATTTAGATAACAATGGTTTTTTGCATTGTATTGGGAGAAGGGGGGTGGGAGAGTGTTGGCCAAAATTATATTTAAAAAAATGAAAGCTGCTTTGGGGTTTTTTGTTTTGTTTTGCAACTAGCAGAATTTTTTCATTAATTCCTAGAGTGCTTGTGGGCTTTGATGAACCTACTCAGGGGTTCAGTGACGTGTTTGGGTCAGGGTCAGAACTCAGACCTACCTTCCCAGATTTCTGCATGTGTAACGCCACCAGGCAGAACCGAACCTGCAACCACTGTGCAGGAGTTTCTGCAGCTTGCGCTAAAAGCCAGCTGGCTCTCGGCTAAGGCTTTAGAGCAAACTCATTTGCACGCTCTCTCTGGAACTGTTCCAGGTGCCACTCCATGGGACTGTGCACCCCATCGGGTAGGTGTGTGGATGACACATGCACCTATTTTTCATACTCCAGAACAAGAGAGAGCCCTTTCTGAATAGGAAACACGCCTCTCTTTGCCTGCTACAACAGCTAGTCACCTACATCTGCCAGCCTTCGTACTTGGGTTGCTTTCTTCTGCACATAGAAGAAACAGTTCTCTCTGCATGTCTTTGCATCAGTGAAGCACCTGTCTTCCATGTTCTGCCGAGGGCCCTGTTTCTGCCTGGGCATGCTCCTAAGCAAGTGATGCACAGACCTAGTAGAGAGACAAACAGCTGAGGAAGATGCGCCAGTCTCAATAAGTATGAAAGTCACATTCAGCAGAAAGGACTCTGCCTTCCGTAAACAGGACAGCCTTTTTTTTTCTTGGGGGGGGGGGAGGAGAGGGAGATGTGTCACACATGAGAGGTTCCCATTTGGTTAGGTGTATAAACATTGTCCACTCTTGCTTCCGAGTGCTTCTGTGGGGCTAGAGCTCATTGTGCACCATGCTTGGGGAAAGGGTCTGGGGGTAACTTCACTGCGGCTTTGTTGTTTGTTCTGAGTTCCATGCAAACAATAAAACATCTGTTCCCGAGCCCTGCAGCTGGCCCCAAGTGTAATGACGTTAGTATTAATTATCCTCTGGGATGCGGGAGGGGAAGGCAGGGCAATGGTGCAGCTTTCCCTAACAAAAATAGCAAACCACAACAGCAGGGGAGGGGAGGGGAGGCAGGGCAATGGTGCAGCTTTCTCTAACAAAAATAGCAAACCACAACAGCAGCTTGGATGTCTGTATTAAAGATCCTTGCCTATGCACAAACAACAGGCCTGCTCAGGAGCAGACCTGGAAAAGCCAGCCCTTCTTATGTAGGGGGGAGACTTCAGTCTTATTTTAAACACATACAGTTAGCTTGAGGTGTCTCTCAGCACATCACTGCTAGGTTCAGTGGGGTTACATCACTGGCGCAGATTGGAGAATCAGGCTATTTTGTTATGATCAATCATAGAACACTAGAACTGAAAGGGACCTCAAGAGGTCATCGAGTCCAGTCCCCTGCCGTCATGGCAGGATCAACAACCGTGTAGATCATCCCTGATAGACGTCTGTCTAACGTGCTCTTAAATATCTCCAGTGATGGAGATTCCACAGCCTCCCTAGGCAACTTATTCCAATGTTTAACCACCCTGACACTTAGAAAGTTTTTCCTAATGTCCTACCTAAACCTCCCTTGCTACAATTTACCTCATTGCTTTTTGTCCTATCATCAGAGGCCAAGGAGAAGAATTTTTCTCCCTCTCCCTTTTAGGTACTTGAAAGCTACTATCATGTCCCCTCTCAGTCTTCTCTTTCCCAAAACAAACAAGCTCAATTCCTTCAGTCTTCCCCCATAGCTCACGTTTTCTAGGCCTTTAATCATTCTTGTTGCTCTCTCTGGACCTTCTCCAATTTCTCCACATCTTTCTTGAAATGTGGTGCCCAGAATTTGACACAATACTCCAACTGAGGCCTAACTAGCGCAGAGTAGAGCAGAAGAATGACTTCTCATGTCTTGCTCACAACACTCCTGTTAATGCCTCCCAGAATCATGTTTGCTTTTTTTGCAACAGTGTCACACTGTTGACTCATGTTTAGCTATAACCCCTAGATCCCTTTCTGTAGTGCTCCTTCCTAGACAGTCGCTTCCCATTCTGTATGTGTGAAACTGATTGTTCCTAAGTGGAGCACTTTGCATTTATCCTTATTAAACTTCATCTTGTTTACCTCAGACCATTTCTCCGGTTTGTCCAGATCATTTTGAATGATGACCCTGTCCTCCAAAGCACTTGCCATCCCTCCCAGCTTGGTATCATCTGCATACTTAATAAGTGTACTCTCTATGCCATCATCTAGATTGTTGATGAAGATATTGAGCAGTACTGGTCCTAAAACTGACCTCGGCGGTCTATACAGACATTATGGACCTTTCAAAAGAACAGGGACTTCTTGAATGCATAAATTACAACCATTTGCATCCAACATGTTTCTAGTCAAAATATGTAATGCTCAGAATAAGGACGCAATCCAGCACCCAAAATATCTCAGAAAGACTCCTATTGACTTTACGAGGTTTTGGATCAGGCCTTAAGAGAATCCAATAGATATAGCCAAGGAACCAAGAACTGTGGGGCAAATTGCACTTGACCATGATGGCAAGAAACCTTGGGTTCCAGAGCTCTCTGGTGGCACACAAACATTGAAAAAGGGAGGCTTTCATTTGATTAAATACACAAAGGAAAATCAGTGCGGACTCCCTAATTTCTTTTGCTATTAAATTCCATTTATTTTTCCGCTGCCTCAAAGTGTCCGTGTGCCACAGAATTTTGTACCAAAAGCTAGAGTGAATCAGGACATGTTTTTTGATCTGGTAAAACATCTGGAGTCTAGACAAAAGCCATAGAAACCATTTTTATGAACAGTTTTTGGAGGGTTGTCAAAAAAATCAACGCCCTGATCCTGTACATTTTCCAGCAATAGGCAGCCAAACCCATCAAAACTTTTGATGAAAATCCCCCCTAATTTTGTCAAAACCACACATTTACCACATAATGGCCATACTGAGGAAAGTTAATTCCCCCCCATTTTCTCCCCCCCAAAAAGGCCTATGAAATTTTTGCTTGCGCCACTGGCACCTTGTAGCCATTGTTGAGTGGGGAGTGGAAGTTTGGCAGCTCAGAAGGGAAAGGTTGGAGCTCCTGGCCACCGAGAAGCCAAGAAAAGGCAGTTTTGGTTCCATTGGAAGTGGGCGCTGTTTTGGCTATGGGGAGAGAACAAGTTTCGGTTTTCATTTCCCCTTGTAAGTAGGTCTGGAGGTGGTTTTACATTTTTGGAAGCAACTTGAACTCCTAAGTTTTCTTCCCCACCATGCACTTTTTTGCCAGCAGCTAACGCATGATCTCTGGGTGGGTCTGCTAGGACGATCCACAGTAGGGCTGCCATTCAGACTGTCATCCTTAGGTTTCCGAGTCAAGTTCCCATTCAGGCTAATGAGGCCGTTCACCTCTCACAGAGCGATTGTTTCAGGCGGGCAGCAAACTCAGGCGGACGGTGTTGTATTGGTTTACAATTAGCGACTCTCCGGAAGCATCGCTGTGCAACTACAGGCACTTGGGCTATTTCCACCCCTCAGTCCAATTGTCCTCGGCCCCAAGGCTGCTTCCTCCTTCTGTTCCCCGTGCTACCATGCCACCGCACCCCCCACGCACGCAATAGGGAGGCAGCTACAGAGAGAGAGAGAGGAGAGAGCATCACGGTCCGTGTGCTGGTTTTCAGACAGGAGCAGCCAAGAACTAGTCACAGGAGTCCTTTCCTCAGCTCCCTGCCAGGAGCTCCGGTGTAGACAAGGATCCTGCAGCAGCCCGTGCCTGTAACACTCTGGGGGTGACACTGCTCTGGGCCAGCCCAGGCCGCTCACGCCTCAGCCAAGCAAGCTGAAGCTGCTGGCCCAGGAAACTCCCACAGGCCTTGCTCTTTACTGTGAGCGGGGCAGGCCGTGGGCTCCGATTCCATGGTCACAGAGCGGGCTGGGCAGGCGCAGACAGAACGGTCTGGCTGCAGCACAGATGCCATCGTTTCAGAGCACGTGACGTGTGAGGGGGCAGCAGGCTGCTTTTGAAAGCAAACATGCTTTAAACCCAGAGGGCCGGCGGGAGGATAAACAGAAAACCCTCTTGTTCCAGAAAGGCCCTGGGGAGCCGAAACCCACTGGAATGCTTTGTTTAGTTTATATTTAGCGCTGAGCAACAGCCCAGTAGAGTCCCAGGAGCCAGAAATAGGCACTGAGGAAAAAAGTCCCTCAGCCTGGCAATGAGGCATTGTCGGGGCGAGCAAGCTGTATTGCAGCAGCCTGTACTAGTATAGGAAAGGCCATGCAAGCCGCCTCATGAGGGCACGGTTAGTCTGGTCAAAAAGGGCTTTCCACCAGTCTCTCTCTGCCTATATGTGGGGGAGGTAGTTACACCTCCATCGGCTCTTTTTATACTGGCATCACCAAGTCCACACTAGGGCTTTGGCTGACATAACTATATTGGCAGAAAACTCGCCTCACCCTCTACCTGAACGCTTTAGATCTGTAAAACTTTCCAGGGTAGATTGAGCTTGATTTTAAGTAAGTATCTAGTCCCACTGGGGTCAACCAATGTTCCCTCTAATTTTTTCCATCCACGTGCAGAATAAATTTTGTTATATGCACCGAGGCTACATGCACTACCAATAGAAACATATGCTGCTAGCTATGGATGCTCTGCTAATCAGCTGGGTGGCACCTGAACCTCTCCTGGGCGGCTGTCCAAGCGCTCAGCTTACAAGCTGTCAACCGGACACTGTACATGCATAAAGCTATGCATCTGTTGAAATGCCTTGCTGATGTGAGGCCATGGAGATCAGACCCGGCTTACAGGCTTGCTTTTATTTATGCATGTCAGCGCTGGGGCAAGGAACTAGCTCAGATTAATAAACCTCCTTGAAGAAAAGAAAGCAATGATATAGTCGAGGAGAGTGGCTTTTAGCTCCTTTGGGGTGTTCTATACCTGTATTACCCCATGCACGGTTCTCACCGGCATTTCTCCAGGGAGGGAGAGCACGAGGATTTCTGCATAAATCCTGCCTTGTTCATAAAGTGATCTAATGGCTCTACCCTCGTCCCCCTGTCCGCAGGCCTCTTGTGGAATACCCTATGGCCAGGTTGCAAGCCTGAGAAAGCGCAGGTGCGGAGACAAAGCAACTCCAGCAATCCAGCCTCCCCTTTTCTTGGTTCAAGGATTTCTGCATAAATCCTCCCTTGTTCATAAACTGATCTAATGGCTCTACCCTCATCCCCCTGTCCACAGGCCTCCCGTGGAATACCCTACGGCCAGGTCGCAAGCCTGAGAAAGCGCAGGTGCAGAGACAAAGCAACTCCGGCAATCCAGCCTCCCCTTTTCTTGGTTCCCCCACCTTCTTGAATCCCTGGCTCCGTTGTCAGACGTGGCAGCTGAAGAAACGGGCTCTCGGCTGAGTTATATAAGCCTGAAGACAAACAGCTGATGGCCCGCCGTCGCCCCCTCCGTTCGCTTGGCTTCCCTGTAGGGATCGCAGGGTTGTTTTGAAATAATAGGTGATACGGGCTTGCCAAAGTTAATACACCGCTGGCCTCGTTCACCCCTCTGAGACCGGGGTTTGCTGCCAATGTCAATTCATTCATCGTGATGGGCTAGCGCATACGCCGAGCACATTTTCTGCAGGCCCAGAGGGGCACGGAGGCAGCGCAGGACCTTACAACGCCCTCACCCAGTGGCCGGGGATTATCAGAGCTCAGCATGCGGTGGGCACATGCCTTGCTGGGATTGCTGCCAATGCCGGGAAGATGAACCAGGGAGAGCCAGCGAGGTTCTGTCCCGCGTGCTCCACACCAAGGGTGGCAGAGAAAAGTGGGCCAGGGAGCCTGGAGTAAGACTCATGGTAACCTAGCAGAATGAGGCCGAGACTGGTTCTGCACAGCCAGGTGAGGACTAACAGGGGCAGTCCTGGGGTGGGTAGCGGAGCGTGATGGGCCTGATGTGGTGCAGGCATTTCGGTAGCTACCAAGTGCTGCCAGGTCTGTGTGTGTGTTCACCCGTCGCCCCACCCCCTTTCTGCGGGTGGAAATGACAACCCAGGCTGCAAAGCGTGAGAGAGGAAAGCCCATTGAGAATTGGGACCTAGTCCTGCCCCGGCCTTCTCTTTCCGACATCCTTATATACAGTGGAGGGTCACGTACTGCCTAACCCATGTCAGCTGAGCTGTGCAACCAGGGGAGGCCCCACTATAGCTAGCCCCCACCGCTGCCCCAGAGAGGGGCTGGGCAAAGTAGGGAATGAGGGAGAAAGTAGGGGTCCCCGCTTTCTAGTCCCTGAACAGCCCACACCCTTGCTCCGCCCCTTCCTCCGCGTCCCCACCCTCCCTCCCAAGCCCCAGAGACTCACCTGCCAGTTCTGCAGCCAGGCTGGGAGGAGCTGGGGTGGAGCCAGCCCAGTTGTGGCTCAGTGGCGCTAGGGCCTGGGTGGGGAAATCGAGGCACAGGGGAGGGTCCATCCCTGGAGAGAGGGGCTGGGTCTGGAAATCGGGAGAGCGTTGAGCCCTGGAGTGAGGGGCTGCGATGGCACAGGGCACAGTGGGGCCGAGGGGGTGTGTGTGTCTGTCCTTGGAGCTACGGGCCAGGATGGAGACATTGGGACACAGAGAGAGGGTTTGGGCCCCACAGCGAGGGGATGGGGAGGGGAAATCAGACCAGAGCGAGAGGTTGGGCAGGGGGGATTGGTTCCCGTAGTGAGATGCTGCGGGGGGGAAATCGAGGCATAGGGGTGAGTCTGCTCTGTGAGTGAGACACCGAGGAGCAGAAATCAGGGCAGCGCAGGATGGGGGTGGTCCCTGGAGCAAGGGGCTACGGGTGGGGAGAGGGAAATCAGGGCACAGTGACAGCAAGGTGGGGCGGGTCAGTGCTAGGAGTGAGAGTCTGCGGGGAGAAAATGAAGGCACAGGGGAAGGGGGCAGGAGAAACCCCCCTTGGATGGCGCCTGTAACTACGCTGGAGCCTGGGCTGGGAGCCAGCAGGCTCTCTCTCAGTCCTGCTGGTGGGGGTGGGAAGAGCAGCTGTTTGACTGGCCGCTCTGATGGAAAACCCCAGCCTCCTGGCACCTTACGGGGGTGGATGGGCTTTGGCTACTGGGGAGCGTGTGTCTTATATACCGTAGCGTCAGCGTGTGGTGATTGTACAGGCGGTACAGGCAGTCCCCGGGTTACATGGATCCGACTTACATCGGATCCCTACTTACAAATGGGGTGAGGCAACCCCGCACTAGCTGCTTCCCCCCAGCAGACCAGGGAGACGCGGAGCGGCTTTTCTCAGCAGACACCTCAGCTTGAGAATAAAGGACTGAGGGAAGTGAGGTGTGGGAGAATGAAACTGAGCTCTGGAGAAATGTTTGGCTAGAGTTTCCCCTACAATATGTACCAGTTCCGACTTACATACAAATTCAACTTAAGAACAAACCTACAGTCCCTATCTTGTACGTAACCCAGGGACTGCCTGTACTTTGGGCTACTTGCAGAACTCCCATAGGTAAGTTGTATACAGGATGCATAGGTAAGTTGTATACAGTTGACTCACAAGGACAAGCAGATTTGCTTCCATTGGCAAATACCAAACAAACCGCCCAACCGCTTCCAGGCTCCCACACACCATGACACGTGGTACGGGTAAGACGTTAGCAGGACATATTTGAGAGGTGTAACATCCGTATTCATGCTGGTTTTGAGAGCTGGCTGCCTGTTGAGTCAGATGCAGCAATACCTACACACAGCCTGCAGGAACTAGTCAAACCCATCCAACATTCAGCCCACTAGCCGGCTTTCCCATTAAGCAGGGCACGGTGCTGGTTTTTAGGTCTGGCCTCACAGAACACCAAGGGGGTGGATAGACATGCTGGCTAGCAGTTCCCATGCAGCCTGGACGTCGCGGTCTCCAGTAGGCTAACGCCTGTGTTTTTGGCCTTGCGAAATCTTGGACTTTAAAAACGCCACTGATGCAGCTGTGACATTTGTCGGCCCCGCTCTTGAGACCATTATAATGTGCAGGCCACACATTTCCTAAACTAAAATAAGGAAAACGGAAGAGGCACTCTTTAGCTTTTAATGCCCCAGAAGACAGAAAGCGGGGGTCAGAGTGCAACCGAGACGACCGACAGTTCCAAAGAAGCGCAGATTATTTAATGAGTTGCAGAAAGAAAATAATTTAGTCCTCATGTGACATGGCTACATGCTGAGTGTGTTCTACACCGTAACAAACATATCAATCAGCTATAGAGTGCCATAGAAAATACTAGCAGACTTACCCGGTGTTGCCCAGGGCCTACAGGGTAGCGGATTAGTGGTGTGGGGCGGATGCAGGAGTCAGGGCAGGGCCTTGGAGATGGGGGGCAGAGTAGGAGGCTGGGGACATGGCGGGTGAGAGTGAGGGTTGGGGGGGTGAGGAGGGGCTCAGGTTGTGGGG